AGAATCCAGACATAAATTCATCCACCTATGAGCAGCTGATATTTGACAAAGGCCCAAAGTCTGTTAATTGAGGAAAAGACAGTCTTTTTAACAAATGGTGCTGGCATAACTGGATATCCATGTGCAAAAAACTGAAACAAGACCCATACCTCACACCATGCACAAAAACTAACTCAAAATGGATCAAAGACTTAAAATCGAAAACGAAACAGATCATGGAAGAAAAAATAGGAACAATGCTAGGAGCCCTAATACATGGCATAAACACAATACGAACCATAAGTAACAGTGTGCAAGCACCAGAAGGGAGACTAGATAAAGGAGCTCCTAAAAATCAAACGCTTATGCTCATCAAAATAGTTCACCAAAAGAGTAAGAAGACAACCTACAGACTGGGAAAAAATTTTTGGCTACGACAAATCTGATCAGTGTCTAATCTCTAAAATCTATAAGATACTGCAAAACCTTAACAACAAAAAGACAAATAACCCAGTTGAAAAATGGGCAAAGGATATGAACAGGCACTTCGCCAAAGAAGATATTCAGATGGCTAACCGACACATGAAGAAATGCTCACGATCATTAGCCGTTAGAGAAATGTAGATCAAAACTACAATGAGATATCATCTCACCCCAACAAGGCTAGCGTTAATCCAGAAAACACAAAATTGTAAATGCTAGAGAGGTTGTGGAGACACTGGAACACTTATACACTGTTGGTGGGAATGTAAAATGGTACAACCACTTTGGAAATCGATTTGGCGCTTCCTGAAAAAGCTAGAAATAGAAGTATGATAAGATCCAGCAATCCCACTCCTTGGAATATATCCTAGAGAAATAAGAGCCGTCATACAAGTAGATATATGCACACCCGTGTTCACTGTAGCACTGTTCACGATAGCAAAAAGATAGAAACAACCTAGGTGCCCATCAGCGGACAAATGGATAAACAAATAGTGGTATATCCACACAATGGAATACTATGCAACAATAAAGAACAATGATGAAGCTGTGAAACATCTTATAACATGGAGGAATCTGGAGGGCATTATGCTGAGTGAATTTAGTCAGTCACAGAAGGACAAATATTGTATAAGACCACTATTATAAGAACTCAAGAAAAGTTTTAAACACGGAAGGAAACATTCTTTGATGGTTACGAGGGTGGAGCGGGAGGTGAGGGTTATTTACTAACTAGATAGTAGGTAAGAATTATCTTAGGTGAAGGGAAGGACAGCACACACTACAGGGGAAGTCAGCACGACTGGACTAAGCTAAAGCTAAAAAGTTTCCTGAATACAATCACTTTGAGGGACAGAGTAGCAGGGGTAGGGGTCTGGGGACCATGCTTTCAGGGTACATCTAGGTCAACTGGCATAATAAAGCTTATTAAGAAAATGTTCTGCATCCTTCTTTGGTGAGTGGCATCTGGGGTCTTAAAAGCTAGAAAGCGGCCATGTAAGATGCATCAATTGGTCCCAACCACCTGGAGTAAAGGAAAATGAAGAACACCAAAGACACAAGGAAAGTAGTAGCCCAAGAGACAGAATGGGCCCCACAAACCAGAGACTTCATCAGCCTGAGACCAGAAAAACTGGATGGTGCCTGGCTACCACCAATGACTGCCCTGACAGGGAACACAACAGAGAGTCCCGGATGGAGCAGGGGAAAGGTGGGCTGCAGAACTCAAATTCTAGTAAGAAGACCAGACTTAATGGTCTGACTGAGACTGGAGGAACCCCGGGAGGCATGGCCCCTGGATTCTCTGTTCGCCCAGAACTAAAACAATTTCCGAGGCCAACTCTTCAGACAGGGATTGGACTGGACTGTGGGATGTAAAGTGATACTCGTGAGGAGTGTGCCTCTTAGCCTCAAGTAGATACAAGAGACTAAATGGGCAGCTTCTGTCCGGACATGAGATGGGAAGGCAGAGAAGGTTAGGAGCTGGTTGAATGGACGTGGGGAATCGGGTGGAAAGGCTGAGTGTGCTGTCACAGTATGAGAGCAATTAGGATCACATAACCATGTATGTATAAATTTTTGTATGGGAAAAAATAAAAAGTAAAAGAAAAAAAAAAGAATCAGAACTGATTCGTTTTAAAAACAAGTAACGGAGGCAGGGACGGGTAGAGAGAAGAGCCATCTATCATACAAATAAAGAAAAAGGAAGTGTTGGGAAACAGGATTTCAATGGAAGATGTAAACAGTGATGTGGAGCAAAGTAATGTGGTTAATGCTTCTTGGAGGCTTTCCAGTAATAATACAGTGCCATAGCCCCAAAATAAGTCTAAGCATTCAGTAAGCCCTCTTCGTAATTCACTGAATGGAATTATGTATTTGAAAATAAATGTGTTGAAAACAGCAGTGGTAAATCCTGAGATCAGTGGGTACCTACTAAATAGAGATATTTGAAAGAATGCACCACTCTTGAAATTGAAACCTAGAGGAATCAAGCTCAGTAGTCACGTGTGTCTTTTGGACAACTTTCTGGTTTGGAAGAAGAAATTCCAGAAAAAAAGATTAAAGAATCTGTTTTGATTTAAGGTATTTCTTGAACTTGGGCCTGGTACTATCTACCCTTTATCATACAGGATAACTTCTTCAACCCCTCTTGCACTTACACAGTATATAGACAATAAAATTTGAACTTAAATGGAGGAGGAGCCACAAGATCTTCAGTTTCACCAATTGGATATGTTGTATATAAATATATGGGACAGCAGTTTTTCCTAGACTATCTGGATTTTCATCTATTCCTTTTCTGGTTTGCCACAAAAAGTCTGGGTATGTGAAGTCCTACCATGCAAGCTTTGCATGCACATGCACAAACAAAAAAAAATGACACCTTACTAAAGCAACACTAGGCACAAGACTGAATGTTTATGGTAGTTTAAAAAATAATAATGATGTTTATATGGTTGGGTTATTTGAGGATGACTGATAAGTAACACCCCTAATCAAGTTCTGAATCAATTGGAAAATAAGATAAAAGAAGAATAAAGCTGATAAAATGATACTGAAGAATATGGCCTATATCAATGGACAACCTTCCTAATACTGAATTGTGTAATTAAACAGACTTACCCACCCAGATAGGGGCAACATTGGGCTTACTTCAGGTCTCTGGGGAGTGGACCTGTTCCAGTCAAACTATGGCATAGAAGGAAAGAGCAAAATATATGTTCTCTGTGAGAAAGTAAGCTGCCAATAAAAAGAGAAAGTACTGAGCTATTTATTTCCATTTTCTCCTTTCAAACCCGTAAGAAGTCATATAATCTCTTCAGGAGAAATGAGGGGATAGAGAGATGCTAAGGGAGTGATGTTAGTGGCATTTCTTCCACGTGTAAGGAAACATCAGGAGCAGAGTAGCCTCCTTTTCCCCTACCCCTTAATACTTGTATTTAAAATCTTTGGTTTGTAAATCTGGCTATAATGACAACAATTTTTAAAAAATCCATATAATTGACCCTCTTTACATTTCTTACTCTTGTTACCGAAGTAGTGTCATGACTTATGGCACATATTCTAAATTGCACAGAATTAGGTTGTTGGCGATAGAATATGGAGTTTGGAAAGAATCTTTAGAAATATTAAGTACCAAAAATACCTTAATAAAGAAGGAACTAGAACAGTTAGTATACAAGGTCACGGAATTGGTTAGTGGTGATGCTGGAACTGTGTAATATGCTGATCTTCTAATTCTCAATTCTGTTGTTTTGTATAGAAAGGTACTCAGACCAAACTATCTTAAGGTGGGTATAAAAATGACCAGTAACAAGTAAGAACAATATTAGAACTGAAGCAGAGAGGCAACAGAAGCATTGTTATATACATCTAATTAATATTTAATTAAATTTAGTAACTATTAAGTTTTACTATGTGCCACACATTATGCTAGGCGCTGGGAATAGATTGTTGAGTAAAACAGCCATGTTCTACACCAGATGCATCATTAACTATGCTGATTAGTGTGGGAAGATATTTTTTTAAATATATAGTCTACTAAACAAAATTAAAAAAAAAAACCCGTTGCTGTCGGGTTGATTCTGACTCATAGAGACCCTATAGGACAGAGTAGAACAGCCCCGTAGGATTTCCAGGGAGCAGCTGGTGGATTCGAACTGCTGACATTTTAGTTAGCAGCTGTAGCTCTTAACCACTACACCACCAGGGCTCCATGTATTATTACTATATGTAAATATATGGGACAGCAGTTTTTGTGTTTTTCATGGTTTCTATATGACTGTATAGCACCAAGTAATAGCTGTGTCTCCTTCCTAAACTTTTGCTAGCACTCTCAAAAAAAAAAAAAAGACATATTCTAATCATGGTAGGTTTAAGTAGCAGCTTCTATGAAGTTATCTGAGGGTAAGACCCCATTGCAAACAGTATTTCTCCTAGTCTGAATTTTTGCATTATGACTTCATTCTTTGGGGTAAAGGATTATAGAAGTACAGCCTAGTTTTATATGTAAGGAGACAGGCTCTCAGAATATGAAATCCTTACTCTGTGAAGGCATATAAAGAAAATTTAGACCAACCATTTTTAACAAGGTCAACTGTGAAACATATCTCTGAAGAAAAACTGGAGAGCAGATTTAAAATGTATAAGAAACCATGAGGATGCATGGAAATGTGTGCCCCATGAAGGAGGTTGATTGTTCTAGCTGCATGTCCGATTGAATGAGAGAAAGTGGAGATGTGTTTTGATAATCTTAAGGTAAGAAAAAGCATTTATACTCATCTGGAATTCGTTTGAAGTGTTAAATTTTCCTCTTTTTAAGGTGATTTATACTCAGGTATGAGTTTCTACTATAATTCTAACATCACATTATGCAAGCTTATGTGAACTATAAAAATATCCTATAATTTATATTTTGGTGAATATGAGCTAATCTGTTGCAGGGTGTATATCCTAACTTCTCTTGCATGTCACTGCCATTGAAACTTGCATGAAAAGCACTAACTGCCTTCTTTCTCTTCTCCCTGACTTGCTCCAAGGCTGCCAGACAGATCAAGGATAGGTATGGTATAAAAACCTACATTTTTATTTAAGTATCAATATTGAAGTCAGAAATGAAATTCACAAACAGCTTTTTATTAGAATCTTGTTGGTTAAAATAAAAATACCTAATGGGTAAGTATAAAAAAAAAGTTTCCTGTATATATTTTCTTGGAATAATCAATATATCAGCATGATTTCTTAAGACATAGCTGTGGAAAATTATGTACTTCCCAAAGAATTTCATTTCTGGTATAATATAGTTTTAGTACAGTTCTTAATTAGTTGTACTAATAGATGGGAACCATTTAGAATAATTTGAAATATATAGATATTCCTGAAATGCATTTTTTGTTCTCAATTTTAAATGTAAATGTCTTATTTTCTGAGAAGTCACAGCATTTTGAATACTCCATAAGAGCTAAAGTTCTCCTACTTCACTGCCCTCCTTAACACCTTTGCATTCTCATTCCATCCTGTTCCTGGTGCCATCTCTATCTACTTTGCCACTACTGTCTAGTTTATTCCAGGAGAAAATTAAAGAAAACGATTAAAGGTTTGGCTTCAAAGGTCTTTCTCATTGGTAGAGCCAGGATTAAGAAAGGAATTTATTACTTGCTGTAATGAACATCTCAAAGAGCTAAAGGAACTGCTGGCAACATTTGGAATGAGTTACAACAGAAGGGATGGTTGTGCCTGGCTAGTCACTGAGAATTGACTGTAGTGAGATTGTCGCTTAAGATTTCTTCATCTGGGGATATGAGATTCTGTGAACGGTGCAGCTTCTCAGTGTACCATTCTGAATCCTAGATTAATTTATTCATCAGATAATTCACAAAATTATACATTATGGGTTGTGTGAAAACCAGCATCTGTTCTTAATTTTGGCTGAGGCTTTGATTTTAAATCTCCGTTTGTCTTGTGGTCTTTTATTTGATTAGAGGCAAGATACTCTTGGCACATACAGCATTCTTAGTACAGATATTAAGTAATTTTTATATTTTTGTATATTTTGTATCAGGGAGTGGCTAAAAACATGGGTCCATTCTTACAAATCCTGGATGTAAAAGGTGTTGGAGAAGGGAGATTATGAAAGTTTGAAGGTGAAAAGTATATGGACTGTATGAGGAATGGATGCTACACAGCCCAGTTTTTTTGAATGAGGTAGATTTGGGTTATGTCTGCTGGAACTCGCCATGAGTAGTCCATCTTCCGCCCTGGCTAGATTATACTGCCTGTTTCATCCACCGACTCCATGACTCTGCTAAGTCTGTCTGTGGTCCCTGATTTTCTTCTGGTTGAGGAAGTCACTTCTTTATCAGGCTTTGGGCTCCTCAAAGACTTTGCAAGAGACCTTGCAGAAGTCTTCTCTTGTTCCTCTCCTGTGGATCTGTATGACTCTGTGCTACCCCAAATCCTGTGTTTGCCCCGACTTCTTTCTTTTTGTTCGGATTTGTTTGTCAGAGTTTAATTTTTTGTGGTCTGTTTTCATGGCTGAATGTATTCTTCACTACAGCTTGACTTTTATGCCTCTTGTTCTAAGCCAACCTTTTGTCTTGATTTCATCAGTATCTAGGTGATCTCAGGGGTTAGGATTCCTTTCATCTGCTAGGGTAAACTCCATTTTCTCCAATTTTTGTTTGTTTATTTCAAAGTCTACACTTTTTTGGCCACCCATGAAATTTTTACTTCTGCCTGTGAAACATTCCTGGGTTTCAGCTTAATTGTGAACAGATTTCTTTCTTTTTTTGGGCCATTTTAACCATTTTTAATTGTTCAATTCAGTGACATTAATTATATTCACAGTGTTGTGTAATCATCACCACTGTCTTATTTCCAAAACTTTTGACCACCTCAAACAGAAACTTAGCACCCTTTAAGCAGTAACTTCTCATTTCTCCCCCTCCCCAGCCCTGGTAACCACTGAAAGTTGAGTTTTAGTCTCATAATGTCCAGGCATCTGTGATTTATTTTTCAGGTGCTCTTCCAGGGAGCAAGCATCTAGGTTCTATCACTGCAGTTTTATAACATAAAAATAATTTAAACATAGTCATAATCAAATAATTATTTTCACCAAAGGAAGAAAGAGCTTTTCCTTTACATGAAGTCAGAGAGGGTATTTTAAACAAGAGTGTGTAACACCTGAGCAGGGAGTCAAATATGTAAAAATAGAAGTATTTTATTATGAAGTATTTAGTATGAAAACTCAGTAGTTATCATTTGCTGTGACAAGTTATACAGGAGTAAGTGAGGGATAAAAGGAAAAAGTAAAAACAGAAATGAGAAGACAATATATAACAAATCTCTAAAACTTTATAAGTACACTTATGGGTGCTTAGTAATATTGGATGATGATTAATTGAAGTATATTGTGGGAGTTATTGTTTCTTGAAAGAGGAGTTATGAAGGGGAAAATCAAGTTAATTAGGCTAGTAGGTTGAGGAAATTAAAAGTTCATCCATATTTTTGCAGTTATTTTCTCTTTGTAAAAAAAGAAAAAAAAATGGGGAGGAAGGGGTCCTTGTATTCAGTTTGTACTATTAAAAATAAACCAAGAAAGTCAAGATGAATTAAAACCTACCTAAACCACATGGCTCCTGTAGTGTAGAGAATTATCTATGAATTTTTATGATCTATGATTGTTTGGACTTTGAGGCACAATTGTCTAAATACATTCAGTTTAAAAAATAAAAGTTCATTCTTTTGAAAAAATTATCTATGGTATTGTACATCTAACTTGATTCCTGGAAATTTTGAAGTTTCCATGGACTAGAAAATAAGTCATTATTCTTGTCTTTTAGGCTTTGATAACCATTTCTTTTGCACTTTGGGGGGAACGTTCTTTTTCTGTGTATCATACTGATTAAAGTTTTACAGATTTAAAATTCCCTAAAATGCTTTTTGATTTTTTTTTCTCAACAATTCTCAATAAACTTTTAAGTAGATGGTTAGGTTTAGAAGAAATCAAGTAGTTTTGAACCCATTTACTGTTTCTACCTACCCACTGCTGTTGAAGTGACCCTATAAGACAGAGTATAACCGCCCCATGGGGTTTCCAAAGCTGTAAATCTTTATGGAAGCAGACTGCCACATCTTTCTCCCACAGAATGGCTGGTGGGTTCTAACTGCCAGCTGAATGCTTTAACCACTGCACCACCAGGGCTGCTTTATTTACTGATTTAGTGAACATTTATTAAGTACCAACTCTGAATAAAGCTCTTCTAGAAGGTGTCAAATCAAAAGATACTTGGGGCTTTAAAGAACAACGAATGGAAGGCATAGCCTTTGTTTCTAACTTCTTGTTGGTATTTCATTATTGAGAATTAATTGCTTAAAGTAGTATGTGTGAAATACTAAGCATTATGCTGGGCACAAAGTAAGCATTCAGTAAGTATGAGTTTTCTTCATAAATTGTATTGTAATATAACATTTTCTTGATGAGTAGGTTGGCTGCTGTTTATTCATTTTTACTATTAAACAAGGTGATTACTTCTCTAGCTTTAAGATGAAATAAAATAAGTGAACACAGAAAAAGTTTGACATCTTTCATCTTATTGATCTGTAGAGTTGATTTGGCAAATCTGCTTGGCTAGCCCTGGCATTCCCTTTGTCCTTCCTGCTCTATTTACTTCGTTTCCCAGATTGTGTACTAGCAGGACAACATTCATGAATAGTATTTTTGTATTATTCTTTGATCAAAGATGATAAGGGGAGTTACTTTGTGATGTTTTTAGAAATTTACTGGAATATGAAAAATCAAAATTTGAGATAAAATTAATAGAATATGAGGATTTCTTTTAATCCCAAGTCCTTATTGACAGAAGTTTCCCCATACTTTGGGTATAAGTGAGGTGTATTATGACTTTTTTCTTTTTTGTTTTTCTTTCCACGGTCATCCAATAATTGGTTTATTGAACCCCCATTATTTTCACGACATACAGTTTCACAGGGCTGTTTCTCATAGTATCCTTCCGTTTAGCTGATGTTGATAAACCAGAGTGGCACCTACTAGTTTGATATTCACTGGTCGTGATTTCACTTCTTTCCTTTCACATTCGTGGTCTATCTTTAGCAGGTACCAAGCTGCTCACTAATGGTCAGTATACCTCTACTTTTATTGGAGGGTATGCAGGGTAGCTATGACTATTAGAATATTTGAATCAGGGTGTATGTACCGTTCATTATTTGGCATATGAAAAGAAGTGAGGCTGGCATCAGGAAGTCAGTGAGATTGAGTGTGCAGAGGTTCAGATGAATGTTGGGTCTGTTAAAGATTATTTATACTGGATATCTGGCTCGTGATATTTGCATATATATGCAATTTTATAAAACTAGCAGGAGAAAAATTGCTAAAAGTTGTCTTAATCTTTAAAAGATGTTTTATCGTTTTCATTTAGTTGATTTTTTAAAAATCCTTAAGAGCAAATTTCTGTTTAGCTTTGTTGACTTGTTATAGTTCCTGAAATCATTAGCGTGAAACAATTTCTATCTTTCATTTTATAAATTAAAAAATGATGTGATTCTTCTTTTATTTTAAAAAATATGTTTGTGTTTGCCATAGAGTCACAATGGCATCAGCCTTTCGCCTTTCTTTGAAACCAAAGGTCAGTGACAACATGACTCACTTAATGGTGGATTTCTCTCAGGAAAGACAGATGCTGCAGACTTTGAAGTTTTTGCCAGGTAAATACATGTATTACATGTAAAGTTTCGTATAAAAATTTTTTTTCCTGCAAGATTTTCCCATAACGAACACATTGGTGTATAAGTGTTAAAAAACTCCAGTGTAATTTCTTTTCTTCATTCAGCTAAAGAATAATTGAAATTTACTAGGTTTTTTTGTTTGTTTGTTTATTATTGTAATGTAAGGGAAAATTTACATTTCAAGTTAGTTTCCCATACAAAAATTTATACATACATTGTTACGTGACCCTAATCGCTCTCCCTATACTGTGACAGCACACCCCTCCTTTCCACCCCTGATTTTCCATGTCCATTCAGCCAGCTCCTAACCCTCTCTGCGTTCTCATCTCACTCCCGGACGGAAGCTGCCCATTTAGTCTCATGTATCTACTTGAGCTAAGAAGCATACTCTTCATGAGTATCATTTTATGTCCCACAGTCCAGTCCAATCTTTGTCTGAAGAGTTGGCCTCAGGAATTGTTTTAGTTCTGGGTTGACAGAGAGTCCAGGGGCCATGCTTTCCAGGGTTCCTCCAGTCTCAGTCAGACCATTAAGTATGGTCTTTTTACTAGAGTTTGAGTTCTGCACCCCACCTTTCTTCTGCTTCATCTGGGACTCTCTGTTGTGTTCCCTGTCAGGGCGGTCATTGGTGGTAGCCAGGCACCATCCAGTTCTTCTGGTCTCAGGCTGATGAAGTCTCTGGTTTGTGTGGCCCATTCTGTCTCTTGAGCTACTACTTTCCTTGTGTCTTTGGTGTTCTTCATTTTCCTTTACTCCAGGTGGTTGGGACCAATTGATGCATCTTAGATGGCCGCTTTCTAGCATTTAAGACCCCAGACCCACTCACCAAAGTAGGATGCAGAACATTTTCTTAATAAACTTTTGAAATTTACTAGTTTTTATAGAATTATTTAGTGATGGTAGAAATTCCATTTTAAATATCCCGCTAAGGGTATATTTTATTGCTAGTTTGGCAGAGAAAAGCAGTGTAGCCTGAAATACTTAACTGTCTGTACCTCATTTTCTTCATCTTTAAAATGCAAATGTTATCCTTCTAGGGTTTTTATCAGGATTATATGAACTGGTGCCACTAAAGCACTTTAAATAGTCCTGGTACATAGTTAACACTCAATGAATGTTAGCTACTGTCATTATTGTGTGGTTATTATTTGCTCAGATGAAATTTTTATTTCCAGTAATAATGTATTAATGTTAGTTTGCTAGAGTATTAGTATGAGGATATTCCAATGGCCAGACTATTTGAAATTGAGTCTCAAATTATTGTCCAGTTAAGAACCAGTTAAGAACATTTTGGTTAGTATTCTTTTTTTTAGTATCAAGTCAGGGAATCTCTTGGAAGTGAAGTGTTTTGCTTGTAGGTTCTTTGTTGACAACTGTCTCCCCCCACCCCACCCAGAGGTTAGCTGTTTTTGAATAGGGAATGTTGACCATATGAAACCATCCCTTTCTCCTCTGAATATATGGTCAGAGACTATAAAATATGATTGGAAACACAAGGTTAATAGACATGAAACTATAAGGGTAGCACAAGTGAAGTAGTAACTTGTGTGGTATAGATCAGAAGTTCTAGAGGAGTTTATAGAAGGAAAAGATGATAGTAGAATGAGAGAAGAAACCATAGTTGTAGGGGAAAAAAACTATACTTGTCAGTGGGTATCTGCCTATACATTGGTCTTTCAGAATCACTAACCATTATATTTTCATTCAAGAGTCCCTGGATGGCACAAACAGTTAAGTGCTTGGCTACTATCTGAAAGGTTGGTGGTTTCAATCTATCCAGAGGTGCCTGGGAAGAAAGTCCTGGCACTCTTCTTCCGAAAAATTACAACTATTGAAAATCCTGTAGAGTACAGTTCTACTCTGAAACACGTAGGGTTGCCATGAGTCAGAATCAACTCAGCAGCAGCTTGTGTTTATATTTCATTCACTTTAGAGTGAAACTGCCATTAAAGGGAGAATAATATTTTTCATGGTTTTATTTAGAATAGCAGATAATTTATTTTATTTTTTCCCATACAAAAATTCATACATACATTGTTATGTGACTCTAATTGCTGTCCCCATACTGTGACAGCACACTCAGCCTTTCCACCCCTGATTCCCCATGTCCATTCAACCAGCTCCTAACCCTCTCTGCCTTCCCATCTCACCTCTGGACAGAAGCTGCCCATTTAGTCTCTTGTGTCTACTTGAGCTAAGAGGCACTCTCCTCACAAGTATCACTTTATGTCCCACAGTCCAGTCCAATCCCTGTCTGAAGAGTTGGCCTTGGAAATTGTTTTAGTTCTGGGCTGCTGGAGAATCCAGGGGTCATGCTTTCCGGGGTTCCTCCGGTCTCAGTCAGACTATTAAGTCTTAGAATACCAGATAATTTAAAAATGAGTTGGATCGTTTCAATCTGACACTTAGAATTCCACTGGCAAGAGAATGAATTTTACTGTAGTTTTGAAAATTTGAGGTTGTAGTACCAAAATTTCACTGATTACCAGTTAACTGAGGTTTTACTTTTAAAAAGAACATCCAGATGTTCACTTATGGGGGATATGGACCTAAATTTCAGGCTAGGAAGTGTATCTTGAAATTTGAAGTTTTTTACTTAAGAACAACTTCTGAAACCTTTATAGAAACGAAAAGAAAATAACTTTTAGGAGTCACATCGATCATATGTCTCTATCACCAGTATGACCCTAAAACCTCAGAATTTCACCCTCATTTATATAGCTATCAGAGCCCTGGTGGCGCAGTGGTTAAGAGCTTGGCTACTGACCAAAAGGTCAGCAGTTTGAATCTCCCAGCCGCTCCTTGGAAACCCTATGAGGTTTTACCCTGTCCTATAGGGTCCCTATGGGTTGGAATCAACTCAAAGGCAATAGGTTTGTTTTTTGCAGGGGGGTTTTATATAGCTGTCAGATGTAAAACCAAACCAAACCTGTTGCCGTCGAGTCGATTCCAACTCATAGTGACCCTATAGCACAGAGTAAAACTGCCTCCATAGGTTTCCAAGCCTGTACTTTTTAGGGAAGCAGACTGCCACATCTTTCTCCCATGGAGTGGCTGTTGGGTTTGAACTGCCAACCTTTCAGTTAGCAGCCAATTGATTAATCAATGCACCACTAGGGCTCCTTCCATAATAGAAGTAGAACAGCCTCGTAGGGTTTCCAAGGCTACAATCTGTATGTAAAGACTTAAGCCTTGGAAACCCTGTAGGGTTGCTATGAGTTGGAATTGACTCAACGGCAGTGGGTTTGATTTGGTTTGGAATCTTTACGGAAGCTGACTGCCATATCTTTCTCCTGCAAATTAGCTGGTGGATTCAAATTGCCGACCTTTCAGTTAGCACTCAAGTGCTTAACCTCTGTGCCACCAGGGCTCATATCAGATACAGAGCATTCTTAATACAATTTTCATCTTAATGAAACTGCAGAGAAAAATAGTAGCAGCCTACAGAGGGAAGTTGCCCTTTGCTTCTTATCTGTTCCCATATTAAGGCTACTGTAGTGTTTATTTTTTTAAACTATTTTTTAATAAAAAAAGGAATATATGTATGTGGTAAAAAAAAATAGTGCAAAAGGATATAAAATAAAAAATAATTCATTCTCATCTCAGACTCCACTGCTTCCTATAAGCTACCAGTGATATTATCATATGCTTATCTTTGCAGAAACAGTCTGTGCCTATACAAGCATATAATTGTATAGGCAGAATCATACCTATATAATATTTGACAGTATTGACCTTCAAAAATGGCAATTTCATATTAAACCTAATATACAGCCCCTTTTTTAAATAGAAGTGTGTGTGTGTGTGTGTGTGCAAAACAAAACAAAACCAATCTCGTTGACATTGAGTCATTTCCAACTCATAGTGACCCTATAGGACAGAGTAGTACTGCCCCATAGGGTTTCCAAGGCTGTAATCTTTGTGGAAGCAGACTGCCACATCTTTTCTCCCACAGATCGGCTGGTGGGTTCAAACTGTTGACCTTTCATTTAGCGCTTAACCACTGTGCCACCAGTGCATCTTATATGTGTGTGTGTGTGTGTGTGTGTGTGTGTATGTAAAACCAGACGCATTGCTGTCGAGTCAGTTCCGACTCATAGTGACCCTATAAGACAGAGTAGAATTGCCCCATAGGGTTTCCAGGGAGCGACTGGTGGATTTGAACTGCTGACCTTTTGGTTAGCAGCCAGACGCTTAACCACTGCGCCACCAGAGCTCCATGTATGTATGTCTATGTACTGTTGTGTAATTTTGTTTTGTGACTTAACATTATGTAGAAGTTTATTTCATGTCACTATAGCTCTATTCCATTTTTTTCCCATGGCTGATAGTAGTAATTTGATTAGTTTTTCTTGGTAAGTATTGAAATTTATAGTCTTTTAGAGACAATACAGTAATGAACAGAATGCTTAGATGTGTTTGCAAAGATATGCCACCATGCCTTGATGATAATTCCTGGAAGTGGAAGCGTTTATTTTAAATTTGGATAGATATTTAAATTATCAAAGCAATTTCACCCATTTATATTTTCCTGAAAATGTTTTAATACATATAGACTTATACCATTGTAAACACTATTTTCAGATTTTAATTTTAGTTTTTATTCTAACAGATGACAAGTTCTGTGATTCTCGGTTAGTGTAACTTTATAGTAATTCTTCAAGTCAGTAAGTGTCAGTCCTTTGATTTTGTTCTTCTTCAGTATTGTGTTGGCTATTCTGAGTCTTTTGTATTTCTATTTAAATTTTTAGAATCAGTTTGTCAATATCCACAAAGTAACTTGCTGGAATTTTAATTGGAATTGTGTAGAATAGATCATGCTGGGAAGAACTGACTTCTTAACAATATTGAGTTTTCTTGTCCACAAAAGTAGAATATTGCTCCATTTATTTAGATCTTTATTGATTTCTTTCATCAGAGTTTTGTAATTTTCTTCATACAGATCTTGTACATAGTTTAAGTTTATACCTAAATATTTCTCTTTATTTAGTGCTAATATAAATGGTATTTGGATAATGGTATTGGATTTTTAATTTCAAATTCTAGTTATTTGTTGCTGGTATATAGGAAAGCAGTTGTCTTCTGTATGTTAACCTTACATTCCACAACCTTGGTGTAATGGCTTATTAATTTCAAGACAGTTTTTTTGTCTGTCTTAGATTTTTTACATAGCCAGTCATGTCATCTGCGAACAAGGAATTTTTTATTTCTTCCTTTCTAATCTGTATACCTTTTGTTTCCTTTTCTTGCCTTGTTGCATTTAGTTAGGACTCCCAATCTTGTGTTGACTAGGAATGCTGAGGGGACTTCTCGATCTTAAGGGAAGAGCATCTAGCTTCTCACCATTATGTATGATGTTAGCTGTAGATTTGTGTCAATATTCTTTATCAAGTTGAGGAAGTTTCCCTCTATTCTCAGTTTGCTGAGAGTTTTTATCATGAATGGGTGTTGGATTTTGTCAGTTTTTTTATCTGTCTTCTAATACCATCATATGCTTTTTTTTTCATTAGCTTATTGATGTGATGGGTTACATTAATTGGTTTTTGAATGTTGAACCAGTGTTGCATACCTGTAATAAATCCTTTAAATTCTCTTTTTATCAACAAAATGTTTAAAGACAGTACCTGTTGGACTGCATAGTTTCACACAATATAAAAGAGTTAAACAAGCAAGTGAAGAAGCAGAGAAGGGAGGACAGCTGAAGATTCCCCAGGAGCAGAAGCTCAGAAGAAACAAGGACCTTCTTCCAGAGCTGACAGAGAGAGAAAGCCTTCCCCTGAAGCTAGCACCTTGAAATTGGACTTCTAGCCTTCTAAACTGTGAGAAAATAAATTTCTGTTAGAGCCACCCATTAGAGCCACCCAATTGTGGTCTTTCTGTTATAACAGCGCTAGATAACTAAGACCATATTTGATACTGGAAGAGTGGGGTGTTGCTGTAACAAATACAATGTAGGAAATGATTTTAGAATTGGGTAATAGGTGGAGGCTGGAAGAATTTTAACGTACCTAATAGTAAAAGCCTAGATTACCTTGGAGAGACTGTTGGTAGAGTTATGAACGTCAAAGGCAATTCTGGTGAGGCCTCAGAAGGACGTGAAGAGAGCTATAGAGAAAGTTTCTGTCATCTTAGAGAATACATATGGTGACAGCAACAGAATGTTGGCTAGAAATGTGGACATTAAATGTGCTTCTGGTAAGGCTTTAAAAGAAAATGATGAGCATGTGATTGAACAACAGAGGAAGGGCGATGCTTTTTATGCAGTGGCAAAGAACTTGTCTGAATTATGTTCAAATGTTTGGTGGAAGGTAGAACTTGTAAGTGATGGGTATCTGGCTGATGAGGTTTCTAAGCAAGATCTTAAAGGAGTTGCGTGGTTTCTCCTTGCCACTTATAGTAAAATGCGAGAGGAAGGAGATGGACTTAAATATAAACTGTGCAAAATGAAAACAGAACTTAGTTTTGGAAAATTCTGTTGTACAACCTAAGGACATGTGTCCTAGAATGTTCACGAAGGATGTGGCTACACAATCTTTTGTTAAAGAGCGTGTGACTGATAGATCTAACCAACTACCACAGCAAAAAACTCATCAGCTTAGACTGAGGAGGATAGAGAAAGAACAAAAAGAAAGAACGCCGTCTGCCTCTTGGAATTCTACGGGCTAGAAACAGGCCAAAGGAGCTACATCTGTTGTCCTCCAGGCAAAGAAAAGGATCATCCCTGGAGCAGCTTGGAGATCAGCAGAACTGTTGGAAGGAGCACAGGAAGCAGGGCCTTCTTGGTTTCAAACGGTGGGGCCACGGTCTCCTGGATCTCAAAGGGTGGGGCCATAGCCTCCTAGGTTTCAAAGAGCTGGATCCTCTCTAACTGGGTTCCAGACTGTGGGGCTACCATTAAGGTGTGGCAGGGGGATGGGGCTCCCGCTCAAAGCTGAGGGGGCGGGGCTCATGTCCAAGGGGCAGAAGAATGGGACCTGCCAGGGCAGAGGGGATGGGGTCGTCACTCAGATGAACTAGGAGAATGGGGCTGCCTAAAGCCTAGGGAGCAGAGTTGCCATCCCTGAGGGCCTGGAAGATGGAACTGAAGCCCAGGGCTGAGGGGCCTCCACCCAGAATCCATAGGATGTGGCCAACACCCAGCGTCTGGAGGACAGGGCCAAAGACAGGGGCAATGGTGGTTTTCTGGTAGAATTCTCATTGCACATGGGATACCAGGGTTTGATTCCTGGTTAATGCACCTCAAACACAGTCACAACCTGTCTGTAGAGGAAGCTTTCATGTTGCTATGTACAGTGTGCTGTATTCACAAGTCCTTAGTGAAGACCGTTTGGAGCAGAGCACAGACCAGACACTGTTCTAAAGGCATGGTCAACAGGCATTTATTCCTCACAGAATAAACAGGACAGGGATAAGTAGAACAGCAAACATTCTCATCAGCCAAGATTCCCTGAAGTTAGGTTCCTGTCCTAGAGTGTGATCTTATGATGCGTCGTAGTATGCCCCATTTTACACCATGAAAGAGGAATGCCAGAGCCCTTCTCTGGCGGGATTAATATACTTAACAGGACAGCCATGTCTGTCGCCAGATAGCATGTACAGAGATCCAGTAGGGGGAAGAGGTAATAAAAGGTAAGAGGATAATAAAAGCAGAAGTCCCCCTGCAGGTAATGGACATTATTCCTTGCCCTTGTTTAGGGTGGGTTACCGTCTCCCGATGGCTATTGTAGATTTACTGACATCAGGAGCATTCCTTTCCCCTTTACCCCGATAAGATAGTTTAACAGAGTTCTGAGTTTCTTTAGAGGGCAGTCATCTCCCCTGAAGGCACATACTTTGTGTCCATTAGTAGCTTTTATGTCCATTTAGTAGCTAGGGAGGCAGTGAGAGACGTTATAGCACACTTGTGCACTCAGCACTATAATGCTGAACAGTTTTCAGCATAGCTTCCAGATAAGACTGACTAGGAAGAAAGGCCTGGTGATCTGTTACTGAAAATCAGCCAGAGAAAACCCTATGGGTCACAACTGTCAGATCTGCAACCACTTGTGGGGATGGCGTTAAGACTGGGTAGTGTTTCATTTCATCATGCATAGCATCACCGTGAGATGGGGGCCAACTGGACAGCAATTTACAATCACAACAAAGTATTTTTTAGGGGGTTTGAAGTTAATTTTTGTTTAGTACTAAGAAATTACAGTTCTTTTAAAGACAGCTTTTAAAAATGAAAAGGCAATTTTGAATTATTTTAATCATGGGATTTAAAACTATTTCATCAATACTGATTTAATTATATACTCTAGCTATTTGATACAGTAGAATAAAAGTTTAATGTGTTCAGAAGTAATTCTTTTTTTAAATTTATTAAATATATTTATTGTGCAAATCAGAGTTTAATATACCAGATTTGTTGAAAGACACCTGTATTATGTGTGGAAAATTTTTTTTTTCCTCAGTTGTAGTTTAGTTGAAGGTTTACAGAACAAACTAGCTTTTCATTAAACAGTTAGTGCACATATTGTTTTATGACATTGGTTAACAACCCCATGACATGTCAACATTCTCCATTCTCGACCCTGGTTTCCCTATTACCAGCTTTCCTGTCCCCTCCTGCCTTCTAGTCCTTGCCCTTGGGCTGGTGTGCCTCTTTAGTTTCATTTTGATTTATGGGCCTGTCTAATCTTTGGCTGAAGGTGAACCTCAGGAGTGACTTCATTACTGAGCTAAAAGGGTGTCCAGGGGCCATACTCTCGGGGTTTCTCCAGTCTCTGTCAGGCCAGTAAGTCTGATCTTTTTTTGTAAGTTAGAATTTTGTTCTGTATTTTTTTCCTGCTCTGTCCGGGATCCTCTATTGTGATCCCTGTCAGAGCCGTCAGTGGTGGTAGCCAGGCACCATCTAGTTGTGCTGGACTCAGTCTGGTGGAGGCCGTGGTAGTTGTGGTCCATTAGTCCTTTGGACTAATCTTTCCCTTGTGTCTTTGATTTTCTTCATTCTCCCTTGCTCCAGATGGGGTGAGACCAGTGGAGTATCAGACGTAAGTAATTCTTGATTAATTCTTTTATCCTTAGTGTGTGGGAATTTACTTTTTGCCAGCTAGGATTTTAGTAAACTTAATAAGTCTATGAAAAAACTTTGAAACCTTAATTTTTTATAGTTTAGCAATAAAAGATACTTTAAAAAATAGTTATTTTGCCCTTACTAGGGTGTCCCTTCTCTTACTTAACCTGGTTCACTGTAACAGTTCAGAAGCAGAATGAAAAGACATATGTCTTAGTCATCTAGCGCTGCTCTAACAGAAATACCACAAGTGGATGGCTTTAACAAAGAGAAGTTTATTCTCTCACAGTCCAGTAGGCTACAAGTCCAAATACAAGGCATCAGCTCCAGGGGAAGGCTTTTTCTCTCTGTCAGCTCTGGAGGAAGGTTCTTGTGATGCATCAGTCTTCCCTTGGTCTGGGAGCATCTCAGTGCAGGAACCTCAGGTCCAAAGGACGCGCTCTGCTCCCAGCACTGCTTTCTTGGTGGTGTGAGGTTCTCATGTGTCTCTGCTCACTTCTGTCTTTTATATCTCAAAGGAGATTGGATTAAGACACTATCTAATCTTGTAAACCTTATCAGTATCACCTCATCATAGTGATAAGAGTTTACAACACATAAGGAAATCACATCAGATTTACAAAATGGTACACACTCATACAATACTGGGAATCATGACCCAGCCAAGTTGACAGATTTTTGGGGGGGACCCAATTCAGTCCATGACAGCATAGTTTGAATAACAAATATTTGACTAGTGTTATAATAAATGAGGTTTTTTGTTTGTTCATTTGTTTTTTCCAGTTCCCAAAGCTCCAGAGATAGATCCAGTAGAGTGTTTGGTGGCTGACAACTGTGTAACAGTAGCATGGAGAATGCCAGAAGAAGATAATAAGATTGACCATTTTATACTAGAATATAGGAAAACTAATTTTGATGGACTTCCACGTGTAAAGGATGAGAGGTGCTGGGAGATAATTGATAATATTAAGGGTACTGAATATACACTATCAGGTAAAACAGCTGCATTTTATGAATGTCATTCTTGGAAAATAAATGCACTTATGAAAAGTATTTTTGAGTACCTTAAAGGATGGAGTTATTATTATGTTTCTTTAGCCAAGCTGACTTTTTATATATTCATTATCAAAGTGAATTCCCCTTAAAATAGAAATCTCTGTTTTAATTTCTTCTGGACATTTGCAACCTGGCAAAACAGAATATACGTTAAACAAATATGAAGGGATGTTCTGGAAACAGTATTTCAGAGTAACACTTAATTTTTGCTTGGTTTTCTGACTACAATAAAAAAGTTGCCACTTTTTCATACATATACAAAACCCAACATTTCACTGATACTGTAAATATGGTTCCTTTTACTATCTTAGGATTACCTTCATGTTAATACCTAAAGTAGAGCCCTGCCTTGGTATTAGAAATTTGTAGGCTGGCATTTTGAAAAGCTTTTAAAACAATATTTCCAGAGAGAACTTCGGATATTTGAAGTGGCCATGTATTGTCTGAGTTGTTCAGTGCTGTTTGTGCATGAACGATAACCTTAGTAGCTACCATCATCGAGCACTTGCCATTTGTCAGGAGCTGCGCTGAGTGTAACGCACAGTGCGTCTCATTAAATCAGTACAGTACATCTCTTTTAATCCTTGTAGCAGTTGGTTGATTTTGTCATTCAAGTTGCTGAAGGTCCCGTATCCAGTAACTTTTGGACTGAGGTTCTAATCTAGAGCTAACTAACCTCAAAGTTTTTGCTGTTAATCTGTATGCTTCACTTCCTCTTCAAATTTATTTTTTACATAAAACAGCATTTCATAAACATAATCTTTTGGGGCATCAACTTTCCAAAAGTTGGATATGTTATTTTAAATTGTGTTCTCTTCTTGAATGAAAGACTACTTTTAATGAGGCTTGAAAGGTATCCTTTTATCACAGCGTTAAAAACAAAAATGAAAAACAACCATTAATAAACTATATAATTTATTTCTTTTGAAGAAAGTAATAGATGAATTATGTTTCCCTTGTTTCAAGCATTATCATCCCTAGCATAAATTCTTACTCTTCCTGAATAAGACGATACTTTCAAAGAGGACAAAATGCCTGTTTTAAGGTTCATACTTATACTTTAGGGATAAATTCCTTTACTGAAAGCCATTCTCATTTTTGCAGGTTTAAAATTTGATGCAAAGTACATGAATTTCAGAGTGAGAGCTTGTAACAAGGCTGTGGCTGGAGAGTATTCTGATCCAGTGACTCTAGAGACCAAAGGTAAGATCAGTAATTATACAACATAAAACAAAACTTAATATCTGACATTATCCTGTGCTTTATGACAAGAAGCATTTATTTCATGTATGGTTGCTTTTTTTCTGCCTCCCCCACCACTACTTCCCCAGAACCCCCTGCAGTAGGAATTCTAAAACTAGGAAAATAGAATTACTGTAGTAGTTTCCTTTAGGTTTTCCTTTACGATTGTATTCAGATGGATAAAATAGACTGAGGTGATGATGGTAGATTCTCTGGTGCTTAGTTTACAAATTTCAGTGTAGTATAAATATGTAAGCATCACTGAGATTTCCCCAGAGTTTTCTCAAGGAATAGATTATGGCTCAGTAATGGAGAAGTACCTGTTCAGTTTAGTTCAAATTCCCTTCTGTTTTCCTGAATCTTATTGCAGTAATTAACATTTACATAGTTTATTAATATTTATAAAGCATTCTCACAATTCTTCATCTGATAAGTAAAACCATCTAAAGTGATCATTACTGATACCCATTTTGCAGTTGAAGAAAGTGAAGTTTAACTATATTAAATAACTTTCCAAGGATCCCTACAGCTAGGGTGTGAATAAGAGTCCATTCCCAAGTTCTTTGCCAGTTTTATTGTGGGCTTGGAACCTGGATTCTTCTAGTCTCTAAGATCAGTTTGGATTGAGTTAAATCTACCTAGAATAACATATTTGACCACAGAAGATTTCCCAGGTATTTCTTAATTTGAAGGCCATAAAGCTAAGGATCCTTTCAGTTGTGAGATGATAGTTGACTGGCTTTACTTCCAGAATCAGACTCAATACATTGTTGTAGGTACTTGGGCTTTAGAGTATTCGACTGACCTCTAGCTCATATAATATTTGAATAGGCTTGCATGCCAGAAGTTTGGTATGATTTGGAGGATGATATAAAAATATCACAGTAGAATAAAACAAAATATGAAGCTCATAAGTATTGACAAGACAAAGTCAGAAAAATGTTTGCATCACTAAGGTCTAAAAAAACTAACTTGATGTAATTTATGTGGGTTATCAAATGTTTTTATATGAGAACTATATATAACATAATCAGACAAGAAATGGAATTAATTTGTATTACTTGTTATCAAACGGAGATGTTACTGAGATTTCTTCAGAGGCTTTTACCATTCCACAGCAGAGTCAAATTTACAGGCAAATACTATTTTCTACATAACTTGAACTGTTTTTAGTCCTTGTCAAGGTAAAATTACATTATCATTCCCCCTCAAGAGCATCATATCTTTTTATGTCTTCTTTTCCTTTTCTTTTACCCTTTATATTTAGTGAACAGAGCTGGACCTCAGTGTGGTGGATTGTACATTTCTATGTAAATTCCACAGGTTCAGGAAAATAATAGCTGAGAGTGACTGCTCCTGTTAGCAGTGTCTGGATCCTACTAGTCAGACTCTTATTCTTGGGATTTGTAGAGAGGGGCTAAGTTGATTCAGTCCTTTTGAAGATTTGTCACTGGTGGGTGAACCCCCTAGGGTGGAGTTAGACTGAAACTCAACACTGAGGCCTGCTGAACAGTGGACTTGAGCTTCAGGGAGACCCAGAACAAAATTTGTCTTTCACGTGGCTATGGGTTACAGATTTTCTAGGGTTATTCCATACCATTGAAGTGGCTACTAATGATAGCAACAGCTCCATAGGAAAAGCTCAGGTTCAAGAAAATGACAAGTTGAATTAGCATTAACTAGTTTATTTGGTTTGTTGCAGCCTTTTTTGACCAGTCAATAGAAATAAGCGTATAATTGAAGAACTGGAGGGAAAGGGAGACAGGGGAAGATTAAATAACTGAGGCCTACCAAAAGTAATTTCCTGCTACTTATGGTCCTTGATGTGGAAAATAGCAAACACTGTTAATTTTTGTACCTCCAATGTATGTAGCACCATTTCTTCTGGTGTTGATTCAAAAAGCATTAAAAGAAATGTGAGTTCTTATGACCAGAAATTTAAGGCATAGTACCCTTTACTTCCCTGTAAAGGTAAATCATGTTATAAATCACTAATTACTCTCCAACCTCAAGTGAAAAAGGACTATGGTTAAATTTTACAGTATCAAGAAAGCAGCTGCCAACACAAATTAAACACATGAAACATATCTGTACTCTGATTTTTAGTACCTTATTTTCACAGACTCTTAAAGATGTGGAAACTAATATTCAGCTATATAATAGGGCTTATACCAAAGCCAGGACTAACATTTGGGACCTTCTCTTTTGAAGTTGGTCTTTTTCTTTTACGATACAGCGTTATTCCTGTTACTTTAGAGAGGCTATATGACTTAACTGAGGTCCCATAAAGGATTAGTGTCCTCCCATCCCACCCCACCCCACCCCCCAAAAAGAGAGGAAATTGCACCCTTGGGATTAAAACCCATATTCTTCTGTTTGGGTGCTGTGGTATTTGATAGGTCTGGTGTCAGGTGGAGCCCTGGTGGCACAGTGGCTAAGCATTAAACCTGTTAACCAAAAGGTTGGCAGTTCAAATCCACTAGCCACTCCTTGGAAACCCTATGGGGCAGTTCTGCTCTGTCCTATAGGGTTGCTATGAGTTGAAATCAACTCGATGGCAATGGGTTGGTTTTTTTGGTTTGGTGTCAGGTGATTTGGGGGTGGTACCTTTTCTTGCCACTCTCAACTGCAGGAATGCTGTTGGCCTTTCTTGCCAGTGTATCAAACATTAGGAAAGCTAAGATTTTAAGAGGCAATTGAGAATTGATGGCACCTTACAGTTTAATCCATTTATTTCTTTTTTTTCAAATATGCAGATGTCCTCACATGCATTACCTAATAGCTATTATAGAAGTTAACTGTTTTCTTTATTGTACTTTAAATGAAGTTTACAGAGCAAATTAGTTTCTCATTAAACAATTAATACACATATTGTTTTGTGACATTGGTTGCCAACCCCACAACATGTCAACACTCTCCCCGTCTCAACCTTGGTTTCACCGTTACCAGCTTTCCTGTCCCCTCTTGTCTTCTTGTCCCTGCTCCTGAGCCGGTGTGCCCATTTAATCTCGTTTTGTTTTATGGGCCTGTCTAATCTTTGGCTGAAGGGTGAACCTCAGGAGTGACTTCAGTACTGAGTTAAAAGGGTGTCCAGGGGCCATACTCTCAGGATTTCTCCAGTCTCTGTCAGACCAGTAAATCTGGTCTTTTTTTGTGAGTTAGAATTTTGTTCTTTTTTCTCCAGCTCTGTCTGGGATCCTCTGTTGTGATCTCTGTCAGAGCAGTCGGTGGTAGCTGGGCACTATCTAGTTGTGCTGGACTCAGTCTGGTGGAGGCTGTGGTAGTTGTGGTCCATTAGTCCTTTGGACCAATCTTTCCCTTGTGTCTTTGATTTTCTTCATTCCCCCTTGTTCCAGACAGGGAGGGACCCGTGGAGTATCTTAGATGGCCGCTCACAAGCTTTTAAGACGGGACGCTACTCACCAAAGTAGAATGTAGAACGTTTTCTTTATAAACTGTGTTACGCCAGTTGAGCTAGATGTCCCCTGAGACCATGGTCCCTAGCCCTCTAACCCCGTTTTCTTAAGGTAGTTCAGAGGTTCAATGCAGTTCAGTGTGCATTCTGCTAGATTAAACTGCTTCATTGCATAAACCGATTGGATCTTAACTTTTTAGTAACCTACCTACTAAGGAATTCTATTTCCACTTTTACTGAAAAACTGCCTTCTTTCTTTGTGAAAATTCATTTCTGTTTAGATGCAGATTTTGAAAGCTATTAACTGGCAGAGAAGACATTTACTAAAACTGTTGTGGTCAGTAGATTTGTATTTAGAATGTTGGTTTATAAATGAAGACAATGAACAATGGGTCATCAGATGCATAGTTGAAATTAAAGTGATATTTACAGAACAATAGAGGGTAAAAAGATTGTCGACTCGTTAGGCAAGCATTAGGTTTTCCATATGCTTATTTTGTTGTTTGATGATACATACTTCACAGACGTACTGAAGCTTTAGCTAAATCAATTGATATCATTCAGTGAAATGTGGTCTTGTAAGAGAATATTCCTTCATTGAGTAATTACCAGAAATTTGAACTTTTGGGAGGGAAATATAACTAACAGAAGCAGATTACTTGGTAACTACATAGTAGTGATACCTTGCTTAAGACAGAGATTCTGGGAATTGCCTTTTAAAGTAGGAGAAACTGCATTGCTTAGCCTTGAATCAATAAATTTAAATGATTTTACCCTCAATTTTCAAAAGGAGAAGGTTTTACTGATTTCCTAAATTAAACAGTTCTCAATAAGTTTGTATAGTGCTGGTAGTTCCCCCAAATATCAAATAATCTGGAAAGCATAGTTTTGTTTTTTTTCCATTGAAGTGGCCTTTTCCCTTCTGTGCTCTATCAGCTGGGTCAGTTCCTTCAATCATCGCCCCAGTAACATCATGGCCTCAGTTTCTCTTTGCTTATCTTAACTTGAAACTAATGAGCCTTTAAGTATGAAATTATTAAATATTAGAGCATCAGAGAAAATATATGTGTGTCAGGCTGTATAATTTTTTATGCCATATCACATTCTCCTCATTTTTAATTCTACTAGCTTCCCCTTCTTAGTCATAGCAATCAACTGATAATCCAGTTAACGGTAAATTGAGGTTACTGTGTGCTGATAGAGATTCTGACAGAAGGAATAGCAGAAACAACAGTGGACATACAAGTAAATTGTATTTGATTGGAGTACAGGGTATATAACAAAGACTAATGGGAAATAAGGTAGCAATGGTAAATTGCAGCCTTATCATCAAGTGCTTTAAATGCTAGGATTAGGAATTTGAACTTTTTTCTCTGTATGCAGTGTTAATCAATTGAGTAGGAAAATAATGTGGTGATGAAAGCTATGCTTCAGAAAGTGGAGGTATGCTTTTTTTTCCTTGGTATGCTCCTTTAAAAAAAAACAATTTGAAATGTTGTCTTGGATAGCACTTAACTTCAGTTTGGATAACTCGTCATCCCATTTGAACCTGAAAGTTGAAGATACCTGTGTAGAATGGGATCCTACTGGAGGAAAAGGTCAAGAAACTAAAATTAAAGGAAAAGAGAACAAGGGCAGGTAAGCTAGTTCATTAAAGCTATTTGGACAAATTCTTTGTACCTTGATTTTATTTGACAATAATGTACAATGAAATTCTTATTCAGTATGAGCTATGGTATGTTAGAAACATAAAAGTGAAAAATACAGTACCATTTATCAGTACTTGAATTTGTCATTAACATTTTTACTACTTTGTTCTTAGTTTCTTTCCTAATCCTCTTCTTACTTTTCCATTTTTATTCCAGTGTCCCATTTCTTTAACATTATGTCTATAACAACTTGAACTGCTTAGAGAAAAGTTTCTAGTATAATTATTGAATTTTAGACTTTTAGATGGCCTGTCTCACCAGAAGGTCTTTACTGAATGACAGCTTTTAGCACATCCAACCCCAGAGTTTTGCCCTAATCAGCAACCTTATGAATGGAAGAGGCAGACCTGAGGACCTTTTGTTATTGTCAGAACTCATTTAGTTAGTACCAAGGTATGAGAGCCTCTTTTTTAACAAAGGAAATTTTTGCTCACACTGAAATTATCAAGGTAAATGTCACTATGAGTTACTCAGTGAATCGAAAAAGTTCCCCCAACAGGCTTTTGGTCTAATTTTACTATAAGCTGTTAAATTTGTTATAAAAGTCTTTTTTAACAGTTGCCTATTTTTATCTGACAGTGTCCATGTTACTTCACTGAAGAAACATACAAGGTGATGATCTATGTCTGTCTAGTTCTAGGACTTAGCGTATCTAACTTGGCTGAATAACTTTAATTTTTTTTTAAACCAATAAGCGGAAGCCATTGTAGCAGCCCTTATAAGCTAAACTATTGCTCTGAGTAGACTGTACAGTAGCTTATGTTTTGAATTTACAGCATTATAGTGTGCTGCATATTATTTGGATTTTATTGCATATGATAACAATAAGCTCTGCTTTAAAGTCTTCCTTGAATTATTTTCCCACACCTGATATTTTCTGCATTTACTCATAGCTGGCATTTTTCTTGTTGTGCTGTACTCAGTATATCTAACATTATAGCTTTGCTTTTATTTGTATTTGACACTAGGCAGATTTGAAGTGTTCTATATTTTGTAACAGTCCTGCAGTTTCAAAAGCATCAAGGATAAAAAATAAAGGTCAATGCTTATATTACGACGATGCCATAAAGATGAATTATTTCAAATTGCACAGGTAATGATGTGCTAATTTGAAGATACTACACATCTTTACCAGAAACCAGATGTTCTGTAGTCTCTTTTCAAATTTATCTTCTTTTCTTCTCTCTCCAGTTTATTTGCTCTTTATTAGTGAAAATGATTATGTGGTTAATGTACTATAAATTGTAAAATGGTGCTAGATTTACTAGAGCCTGTGTAATTTGATTTGGTCACTTGGAGATTTTTAGACTGTTTGTAGTTAGCATTCAGGTTATATTATTTCATTCTTCCTTTCCTTTTAAGGATATTTTGTATGTAGGCCATTTCTAGAATGTTATTTATGTTTATTCTTTCCATAAACAGTTGTTGAGTGCAGGATGTCATGCTAGAGGCTGTGGGATTTATAGGGATAAACACTGTCCCTGCCTGCAAAAAATTTTCTCTAATTCATGTAGATGATATATATATATATATATATACCAGTAGCAATAATGCAAGGTATAGATTATGCCTAATGGTAAGTGTGAATACAAGCGTTCAGAGGAGGGAAGATAGTGAGAGCTGCCAGGTTTTGAGGTGGTCAGTTAGGACAAAAATCCAAACTGAATGTAGCAATCAAGCCTTTATTCACTTACTGTGAAAGTGTAAAGGAGCCCTGGTGTTGCAGTGGTTAAAGTGGTCGGCTGCGAATCGAAAGGTAGGCGGTTTTGAACCCACCAGCCACTCGGCCGGGAGAAGGATGTGAGTCTGCTTCCGTAAAGATTTACAGCCTTGGAAACCCTATAGGGTTGACGGCAGTAGATTTGGTTTGATTGGTGAAAGTGTAATCAAGAGGCTACAAAGAGAGGATGCTGGCTCCTCCATTGTTCAATTTTTTCTCAAAGAATGGCACTGGGTGGATCAGTGCAAATGGGGGATTACCTCACTGCGGAGGGATCCCCACACAAAAGGCCCCTGCCATTTTATAGACCTGAGGACTTGGGCTGGTAGGGTGGGCAGAGGACTACAAGTGGAAAAGTACTGAGTCACAGTGGAGGAAAGTGTCTTCAGCTCCCTGCCTACCCACCCACAAACGCACACAAGGAAACCTCTGAATGGTGGTGCCTTGGCTAGGATTGCCTATGAGCATGGCCAGCCTGTTGTGGGGGGGCTCTGGTAGGAGTGGGGAACTGAGTCCTTGACTACAACTCTCTCCAGAGACTGCAGCGCGCTGGCTGTGTGCCAAGCCTAGTGTAGGGAAGGCAGCCGGGTAAAGCCTGCATATGGTTGGATCTGAAAGATCACATAGGATCTTAACCTGGAGCTGGACTCCCTAGATGGGTTATTTAGCCTGGTAGGATCTGGAAGACCTTCATTAAGGGAATGGTATTTGAACTGGTTCTCCAGGAAGTAGAAGAATGTGTGACATTTGGACTTGTGGTTGAGAGGGGGAGCAACCAGAGGAAGGGCACTGAGGCAGATGGAATGAATTTAAGGAACACTGACTGGTACTTTAGCTGTATAGTGCTGTGTAGGGGTGAGAAGACTAGAAAGACAGCTTGGGACCGAATTAAAAAAAACAAAACAAAACCTTGAAATGCCAAACTAGGTAGTTTGTAGGCAGTAAGTACGGAAGTACTTAAAGATTTTGAAATAGGGACATGAGAGGTTTATCCGGTAATAATGAACAAGATGAATTGGGTGGCAGAGATCATTTGGGAAGCTGGTGAAACAGTCCAGACTAGAGGTAGCAAAAAAAGGCCTTAATTCAGATAGTTCAGTAACCAAAGTATCCTTAAGAAGGAGTTGGGGCTGGGGAGGGACATGTGTGACATAAGACAATAAAAGCTGTTGTACTTGCACAAATGTACTTACGGTCAGAAGACTGGAATGCTGCAATGGAAGAGTGCTCTTTAACTTTTTTCTGAAACTAAACTGTCATTCTCAATAGTTATGTCTGTTTTTCTTTTCCCCATGCTTTCCCTTTATTTCTATATTACTGGTAAGTTACAAATTTTTTCTTTTAAAAAAAATTCTTTTTCTGGTTACCAAAAGAACTCAGCATATTTTGAGGCAATGCTAAGTGAAAATTTTCTGCTTATTCACGTGATTTTTCTCTTACTTGCTTACTTCTCTTATTTCTAATTGCCCTGACTTACCTGGAAGATGCAAGTCCCATCCCAGCAGACATCCTGGCCTGCCAACTGAGGAGCTGAAATCTCAGTGTATTTGAAAAAGTTTCCTGATTGACTCTGATCCTGTTGAACTTTCTCAGTTAACAACCACCAGTTTATTACAAAATCCCAAAGGCTTGTGTTTCTCCAATTTAGGACTGTAATTCAGGAAGGTATGGGAAGTCCTTAGGTGGTAACATCACTTTTTCTGTTTACTCAGCTAGGGTCATTCATTGAGTTCGATATTGCACACCTACTGAGGATTCAGAGATGAGAAAATGTGGTTCCTGCCAATAGTTTTTCGCTTCCCTCAGCTGCCCCACAGCCAAATTCTTCACATGCCATAGCAACTAAGTATGGAGGGCGCCTAGGGGTAGATTGTATAAGAATGCCTTTTGCATCACCTTTTTGACCCTGCCGCTTGTTAGGGGAGTTGTTTTTTTTAACCTCTGGCTCCCCAGCCCAGCTGAGTATAAAATCCTGTGATTTGTAATTAATAAACAAATATTTCTGAACTCCACCCTCCGATATTCTGATTCGGTAGTCTGGGGTGGGGGCTGGTAATTTGTATTTTTCAAAGTTCCCCCAAGTGATTCTGACATGCAGCTAGGTTTGAGAACCACTGGTTTACCCCACTGGGCTTCCTCTTTCATGACTTGTTTTAATTCCTCTTCGCCCATAATCACACATCTGCTCTACCCTCTGGTCTCCCTTCATCTGACTCTTGGCTTCACAACAAAATCTTTTTTACTTTCTTTGCTCCATCTGTCAGCTAACAAGCAATCGTAGTCATGACTGTTAAGTGTAAGGATAGTAAGAGCAATACTAAAAAGCTTTGGGGTTTGAAGTGAAATTAAATATAATGAAGAGCTAGTGCCCCATCTTCCTTCTCTAGTTACAAAACTAATTTCCACACTGACATTCAAGATCAATTAAAACTATGTTTATTTCTGTATTAATTGCTAGTATTTGCAGTTAATTGAATTAACTTGAAAGGAGGAAGATTAATGTGCAATAATATTTCAGTGACTTTTTCAGTCTTTCGCGAGCTATCCTGAGTGCCCACCTGTTGCTTCTAGGGCAGAGCGTATTTACATGTCAGATGATCAGTTTCAAATGACGTTTTGGAGAATAACTTTGTAAATCATATTAAGGTCTTAGTATTGCACAGGGGTTCTGGAGTCCTAAAAACTTTTTTGTTATAATTTATAAACCATGTTAGAACAATTTTTCCTTTAACCCCCTTACTTTGCATGTTTTTCTAATGTTGCATGTAGCACAGTTTTCACACCTTTTTTTTTAAAGCAACAGAATGGTTTCTTCAAATGAAATGTTTTCCAGAAGCCTAATCTAAAAAGAGAAAAGTACAGCTGGTTAAAGTGATGCTTCCTCCCAGTGTCCTGCAGCAAGCAGCCTATGTGGCATCTGTGGATTCCCTTAGGCTCAGGAACATGGTTTGAAAATCACCACTTATAAGACAGTTTGCCTCCAACAGAAACATGAAAATAGAGCTACACTTATTGTAATGTGGGGAAAATTTTTAAAGTTAAAATTAAAGTTTTTAACTTTGGGAAAAACTAAATTGTAGGAATGCTGCAGCTGTAGACTTAAAATTAAGCTACTTACTATCATTGTACTTAAATAGAAAGTTGTAGTTCCTGAGTTCACTGTTCACTTCTTTGAAACTGTCCAATCTGACAGCAAGACAGCATCCAAATAATGCAGAATGCAGTACATTGAATCATGTGAAATGACTTTAAAATTATATCTTTATATTAGCCTTGCCCTCATCAGGGATTTCTTTTCTGGTATCAGTTGATAGCTATTAAAATCTACTAAATTGACCTTTCCTAAGGAAAAAAATTCTAGTGCAACTGTATTGGAAAAGTGTTTTTATTTCTAATTAGTGTTGAGAATATAGATAGAAATGTATCCCATTCCCTGTAAGTAATAATTTCAGGATAATCTTAACAATAATTTTTTTTTTTTTAAATACAGTGATTCAATATAATTGAAATGTTATTTTATAAACATGTTTGGGATATGACCTATTTTGAGTTTTTGAGAGTTAGTAAAAGGCCTTATACTGTTTAGTCTACTGTGTCATATAATTTGATGTAAGGGGAGTCAGCTTGGATCCTACCCATTATAGTAGGAGAAATGCCTTATAATACTTGACATTATCCTGTGCATGGATTTGTACAATTACTGTTTTCTCTTTTTAAGAAGAAAAGATCCACAACAAAAGTACCTACTGATTTTGAAAAAGATTATTTAGTGATTATTATAAGAAGAAGGAGCCTGTTTTTGCCTTCGCTTGTTTTATCTTTTGAGTTTCTTTTTTTTTTCCCCTTCAGTCGTGTCTTGTCTCATTTTAGCATTGCTTTTTATTTCAACTCTGTGTTCTTTCTATAAGCCTTGCTCAGTCTGCATGACATTAGTGCTTTCAGCCTGCTTTTGTGTTCATGGTTTCTTATATTTGAGTGTTTATAATCCAACAACTATCTTTAGTAATACTTTAGATCAAATAAAATGGTGCTATTTCTGAAACATAATTATAGATCTTTTAAAAGATTCCTTTTATAATTTGTTATTTTAGTGTATGAAACACATCATAGAATATGTGTTTTTCTTTTTGTTCCTGTTTATATAGAAGTGGTACACCATCCCCCAAACGGACATCTGTAGGTTCCAGACCACCAGCAGTAAGAGGCAGCAGAGATCGTTTTACTGGGGAATCATACACAGTGCTGGGTAGGATAAAGCAAAATAGTTCTTCATTACCTCAGACTAAAGGCATCACACTCACCCTAGTGGGCTTTCCACTTGCTTAGAGCTGGAGTGGCTGCCTGTGTATTGAAAGAATATTTGCAGAAGTTTCTCTTGTTGAAGTCTAATTACACTGGGGAGTTTTTAAATTGTCTTATATTTGCTACTTTTAAAAATCTTCTTCCAGCTTTATGCAGTGCTTTCTCTATGTACGTAAGCCTTTAGAGGATAATAAAGAAGAAAAAATCTGAAGCATTTTATATTGAGAAAAAGTAGTAATAAATATAAAAGTAAAGTTATAGTGGGTACTCTGCGTTTAATTTCTGTGTACTAATATGCTTATTCTTGTAAAAAGAGTACTTAGTCAACTTTTTATGCTGTTTTATGGGACACGTGTAGATGAAAATCTATAACTAGTAAGGAGTTTTAAGGAGCCCTGGTGGTGCAGTGGTTAAGCGTCTGGCTGCTAACTGAAAAGTCAACGGTTTGAACCCACCAGCCACTCCGTGGAAGAAAGATGTGGCAATCTACTGCCATAAGGATTACAGTCTTGGAAACCCTATGGGGCAGTTCTAATCTGTCCTGTAGGGTCACTGAGAGTTGGAATTGACTTGATGGCAGTGGGTTTGGTTTTTTGGACTAAGGAATTTTACTTGGAAGAGATAGTCAAATCTGTGTTTCGGGTCTTTTGTAGGAGACACTGCTATTGAAAGCGGACAACATTATTGGGAGGTGAAGGCCCAGAAAGATTGTAAATCCTACAGTGTGGGAGTAGCGTACAAAACTTTGGGGAAATTTGACCAACTGGGAAAGACAAACACTAGTTGGTGTATCCATATCAACAACTGGCTACAAAACACATTTGCAGCAAAGCATAATAATAAAGTCAAAGCCTTGGATGTTACTGTTCCTGAGAAAATAGGTGTATTTTGTGATTTTGATGGAGGTAAGTTTACTTATTTTCTCTTAAGACAAATATTTGATCATAGTTACTTGTGTTTCAGCACTTTTCATTGGTAATCATCTATGCATAGATTCCATTAGTATTATGGTAAGTGTGTTTTGACCGACTAAGGGTTTGATCACAAACATAATTTCCGTTCAAGAATTGGCTGGAAGAGTGTGAGATGGCTACTTAGAGCCCTACAAAAGCACTCATCTATAGTACTAAGTAAATCTGAAAGAAAGTAAGTAAATCTGAAAGGCTAATTTTAGTCTTTAGCACTGTTTTCTTTTGCCCATTTTAATCCATTCCTTACCTTGTTTTATCATCTGTAAAGAGTAGTGGAATCAGAGTTTTCAAAATGGGGTAGACCTTAGAAATTACCTAGTCTCTCTGCTACCCAGTATATACTCAGTAGTTCACTGTCTCTGCAGATGGTCACCACTGTTCTGCTTTTTTTTTTCTTGTATGTGAAGTTTGTCTTAGAAGGAAGCCTGTTTCATTGTTAGACAGGTTTTGGTTAGAAGATTTTTCTTAAATTGACTCAGTTTGTCTCCCTATAACTTCTGGTCGTGTTGCTCTTAAATTTTCTCCCTTGAGGAAACAGAATAATCCTATGCTCCCTAACCCTAATTCACATGGATATCATTATTATTTAAAAACTATTGACATTGCTTCTCTGTTCCATTAGTTGTTCCTCTTACAATTTGATTTTCCAAATGCTTATAATCTCATATGGTTGTATACTGTTTTGCCAGTTTGTTTCTTAAAGATTGGTTCTTAGAGTAGACAATAAAACCTCTGCCCAGCAGAGGACAACAGTGATTTGGCAATGCTATGTTTAGTAATATGACTTGATAGCATTGTTGACCTATTTTGAGCTTGTAGCCACCTGATCCACCAGATCTTTTTTTCGTGGACTTCTATCAGATTCTTTTCCTCTTATGTTAGGCACCATAGGGTTATTTTTGTTGTTTTTAAACTCAAGAATATTACATGTATCTTTCTTTTAAGTTTCATCTTAATGCGTTTGGCCAAGCTTCCCCTCCTTTTAAAATTATCTAAATATTAACTTGATATTTATCTTTTGCAAAATTTCTTTAAGCTTTGAGCTCTTTGGATCTTATTTGATAAATATCTTCTCTACTGTCAATGTAAATAATGTATCAATTTTTGAAGATGACAAAGTATTGCGTTAAAGAACAAAAGTAATTCCCTAGATGCTTCTCTCCACGTTGACTCTTGAGGCTAATAATAAATCGTAAAAATAACAGTGACCTAGGTTACTGTTGTATAACCACATCCGAGTCCATCTTCTGCTAAAATTTACCATTTTAAGTAACATTATGGTGAGATAATTCCATGAACTACAAACCTACCTACTCAAATGAAAAAGAAAACAATTTTGGCTTGATTTATTTTTAGTGATGACATGCCAGTTTTGCTGCATTCTTTTTTACCTGTTCACCTTGAAAACTGTTAAAAACAGTTTTCCTCAGGATAGATGGCAAATGTATTAGTATACATTATTTTTTTCTTTTTTGATTATCGAGCCACCATTTGTTTATCTTCTTTCTTCTGTCTCCTTTCCCATACATACCCTGTGATTCCTCAAAGGTTCATGAGAAGTTAACCTAGAACATAGGTTTCAAGAAGGGGAGTTATGTAAAAAGAATCTGGCATCAGATTCTGAGGGCCTTGAATAAGTATAATAGACTGGTCTTTATTCAAAAGTCATGGGGGGAGGGGCTTCTGCAGGTTTTAGAAAACTATACATATGATGAGAATCTAATTTTACAAACTTTAGTCAGAGTAAATGGTTAAAGGTGGAAGACATTGGAGGCATACATAGCATAAGACTTTTCAGTAGGTAAGTCTTTCAGCAGTGTAGGGCAGAACTTTGTCCCTTTTGTTAACTATTGTATCTTCACTGCCTAGAAAGGTTTTGTTACGTAGTAAGCCCTCAATAAGTGTTGAGTGATTGGTAAGAGCTCCCAAGCTGTGGGGAATCAAGAGGAAGAATGGATTTGATGGTATAAAAGTAGAATTCATAGGACTGTGTAACTAAATATGAATTGAGGCAAGAGCCAAAGATGAATTGAAGATAACTCTGTAAGGTTCCAGCCAGTGTGGTCAATAGGATGGTGGTGCCATCGACAGGATAGAGAATGTAGAGAGTCCTGGGGAAGAATGAGATGCCAGCCCACCAACCACGTGGCATGTTTGGCAAGCATTTAGAAATTCAGGTTCAGAACTCAGAAGTAGAGCTGAAGCTAAATATTTGAGACAGTCTCACAGAGTAGCTACTGGAGATTGCACGGAATAATGTAATTAAGCACTCCTGCTCTGCTATTTGCTAGCCTTGTGACCACATGTAGGTTGCTTACTGTTTTGAGGTAATGTATGTAAAGCACCCAGTGCTTTATTAGTAAACATAAATATTAGTTTTTCTCTTCCTCCCTATTTGGTGGCAGTTGATTTATTTAGGGAACATTGTAGAGTAGAGGAGAGGGCCTAGACAAAGCATTGACATTTTGCATAGGGGAGAAAGGAAGAGGCAGAAGATATCCTCAGGGTTAGGATAAAAACCAAGAGAATAGCCATGGTTGAAGACTTTTAAGAAGGGAGAACAGATATAGGGAGGCTATTAGGTTGGACAATTAGAAGATCAGAGAGAGTTATTTTAGTGGCATGATCCTTTTGAAAGAAACTGTCAGAGGATTTTAAAAACTAACAAGGCTTAAGCAGTGATGACTATAATATGATTTCAAAGGCTGGAGTAACGGATATGGCCTCAAGTAGTTAGAAGACAAGGTTAATAGAGTAAACTTTAAATGATGGTGGGATTTGGGTAAAGAGACTGGTTATAGTAAAAGTAAGGAAAAAGGAATAGTCTTGGTTTTTACTGGGCTAATGAAACCAACGATAAAGAATAGTTTCTAGTTGAATAGGTAGAATAATGCCAGATTATGGAGGGTCTTAGAAACCAGGTAGATAGAAACTGGATCTGGGCTTTTTCTTACAACATGCTTATTACTGATTTTCAAGTGAGAATTATTAAGTCCATTCCTTATAATTTTTAACAAAAAATTAATGACAAAATGTGCAATTAGTTATACTGTTATGCATGATTATGTCTTAGTCTTCATTAAATGTCATGTTTTTTTGTATAATAAATAAGGCTTTTTTTTGTCTTTCTTTAGGTCAGCTTTCTTTCTATGATGCAAGCTCAAAACAATTGTTGTATTCTTTTAAGACAAAATTTACTCAGCCAGTGCTTCCTGGTTTCATGGTTAGTACCTACTTTACATTTAATTTGGTTTGACAACTAATGAGAATAATCTGTGCTGTATAGTTAAGGAGGCAGAGGCTCTTATTTTTTCTTCACATATCTCTCCTTTTCCCTAATCTACCTTAATCCATATCTGTGATAGACTGTATATTTTTGATATATTTTATTAAGTAAACTAAATGCTACTACATAAAAATATTCTATAGTATTTGACATTCATCCGTGTTGTTGTACCTTCACCTTTTTGTTTCTGAGTAGTGTTCCATACTCAGCTGCTAACCGAAAGGTTGATGATTTGAACCCACCAGCTGCTCGGTAAAGATTACAGCCTAGGACGCTATGGGGCAGTTATACTCTGCCATATCTGGTTGATATGAGTCGGAATCGACTCGATGGTACACTACAACAACAGTGTTCCATATACGTATGTACCACGTTTATTCACCCATTCACTAGTTGAAGGACATTTGAATTGTCTCCAGTTCTGGGTGATTATTAATAAAACTGCTATAAACATTCACATACAGGTTTTTGTTTGACCATAAGTTTTCATTTCTTTTGGGTAACTACCTAGGAGTGGGATTGCTAGATCATATAGTTAAGTGAATGTGTATAAGAAACTGCCTAACTATTTTCCAAAATGGCTGTACGATTTTGCATTTCTGTCAGCAGTTTATGAGAGTTCACCACATCCTTGCCATTACTTGGTATTATGAGAGTTTGTTGCTGTTGTAAAGCCATTTTAATAGGTACATAGTGGTATTTCATTGTGGCTTTCATTTTTATTTTTCTGATGACTAATGATGTTGAGCATCTTTTCGTGAACTTGTTGTCATTTGTATAATTTTTTTTGGTGAACTATCTGTTAAAATCTTTTTGCCTATTTTTTACTGGGTTATTATTCAATTTTAAGAGTTCTTTGTATATTCTAGATATGAGTCCTTTATCAGATATTTGTTTTGCAAATATTTTCTCCTAGTCTGTGGCTTGCTTTTTCATTTTCTGAACAGTCTTTCGAAGAGATAAACTTTTTCATCTGGATAAAGTCTAGTTTATTGATTTTTTTTTTCTCTCATGGATTATGCTTTGCCTATCTTGAGAGCATAGAGATTCAGTTTAGGTTTTACATTTATGTCTGTGATTCATTTTGTGATAATTTTTCATATGATATGAGGTATGGTTTAAAGTTCATTTTTTTTACATATGGATGTCCATTTATTCCAGTACCATTTGTTGGAAACTGTCCTTTATTGATTTGCCTTTGTACTGTTGTGCTAGATATTTTGAGTAAATTTTTTCTGAATTGCTTAATTTCCAAAAAAAGTAAGGTAGTAGTTATAAAATCAGAGGGTTGCTTATGTATTTTAGGAGTTATTACTGAACCTGTTAGTTTTGAAAATTTAGAATGTTAATTCTATAGTTATAAATTTCACAGATCTGTTGGTTTTTGTTACAATACTCCAGTTGTTTAGTAAATGTTGAACACTTAAGGATATAATTGAAGGTGGGAATACTAAACCATTTCTAGAATCTCCCTTGCTTTAAGCTGTGCCTGCTACTTACATGGCATTTGATGTTATCTTTTCATATTTTAATTCTCTTGACTTTGTTCCAAATTCACAAGCAAAGCAATTTATTTTTTTATAAACTTATCCACATTTATAGTAGTTAATGGAACCTGGCAAGTTCATCAGTATATACATTCACATTTTTCTTAGAAGTCTTTCTTAAAGAATTATAAGCGTTCTTATTGTTAACAAGTTAGGGAATAATAGCAATTGTAATGGATTTTACTCTGTCTACAGACAGGTCTTTGATTCATATAGTCTCAGAGGACACCTGATTATCAAAACCTGAAGCAATAATTGGGATAAGGAAGTTGGTTCTTTGAGTTGTTTTTTGGTTATGAAGAATAGGATCAGTAATGATAGCCAATATCTTTTGACTAGATTGGATTCTCTAAGTTTCCACAGCTTTGAGTTTCCTCTCTTTTGTGTAGTTCCAGTGAGTTATGCTCCCACAAAAACTTCCTCTGGCCTCTGTGGTTCTCAAAGAATCTGGGTTAGCCTTTCCACTTCCCCTCAGCTCAGATATGAAGGTTATCAGTTTGGAACTTATTGATGTCCATGTATGTAACATTTTGCCTTTCAAATGGAAATGTGAAGGATCCTTGAAGCTCTAATTTGATTTGAAATCTGATTGAAGCTCTGTTTTTGTCTTTTCTTAGGTTTGGTGTGGTGGACTTTCTTTGAATACTGGGATGCAGGTTCCAAGTGCTGTTAGAACACTTCAGAAAAGTGAAAATGGAATGACTGGTTCAGCTAGCAGCCTGAACAATATTACTCAGTAATGCCTACTCAATATATTAACCCCCGTTTTGATTGGGAGACTTCTGTGCAGTTACAAATCACAGGAATTTGTGAGTGGTGCATATCAGGTTTGCTACCTTTTGCTTTAAGGCCTGGAGTCTGTTAGCATTATACATCTAATATGAAGCATTTGCAGAAACTTACTGTGCAATTTCATAGAAGCAAGCAGATACCGAGTGAGAAACTGACATTTCGAAGAATAAGAAGAAAGGCAGTGTTTAAATTTTTATATAGAAACTCATTTTTGTGTTTCTTGGATTTTTGTTTTTTTTTTTTGATCTTCTACTATTTTAATTACAGATGGCAACTGTAGAACCTGGGGTGGAAAGCTTTTAAACCTTACCTTTTTTTCTCTATGCTTTCTCTCTCTCTCCCTCTCTCTTTTTTTAATCTCATTATTACCTATTATTTAGTTCTTACACTGAAGCTTTAAAAATATACTGTCCATTAAGGTTTTTCAGAAATTGATACCATTGCTTGGGGATGCTATAAAGGTTTTCTTATAATGGTTTATTTTTCCCGTTTTATAAATTTGTTGAGTTTTGCTAAATTATCTCCCTTGTTTGTTGACTACATTGTATATCATTTTCTCTTTTCCAAAATAGTGTAATATTTCCCTTATGGTTATAACTCAAAATAGAGAATAGATAGGGGGAGTTTCTAGGGATAATAGCTTAAACCCATTGCTGTTGAGTCGATTCCGAATCATAGCAACCCTATAGAACAAAGTAGAACTGCCCTGCAGGGTTTCCAAGTCTGTAATCTTTAGGGAAGCGGACTGCTACATCTTTCTCCTGCGGAGCAGCTGGTGGGTTCAAGCCACCAACCTTTCAGTTAGCAGCTGAGCACTTAACCACTGTGCCACCAGGATCACCCAAATTTCAGTTCTACACCTGTTGTACTAATGCAGTGACTAGAGGATATTCTTTATATGTTACCCTGCTTAATTAGACTTTTCATTCAGTCACTTTGGATGATGGGTAAGATTTTTTTTAAGCCTTATATTTTCTGACTTTGTTGCCTAGTTTAATCCCACTTTTAATAGTCGTCTTTGATAAAATTTCCAATTAAATTTGGTAAGAACTGATAATAATTATACTGATTTTTAACCTTTTTAGTAGGGGTGAAATTTTATTAAAGTTACATGGAGGGTAGAAAAACCTACCCTGTTCACTTTTTGTCTAAGAAGGGTAGGTTATAAAGTGAGGTGCTTAAAAGTATTCTTTACTGAAGTAATTTATATCTGCTTTTTAATAAGATATGAAATTGTTTAAAGAGTTGTTTTGAAAAAAAAATCTACATTTCCCTGACTGAATTGGCACATGGATTTTTCAAACATAACTATCCAGAGGTTATTTTCCTCTCCCGTCTTCTGCTGCATTCACTTGCTTTGAAAAGGGGTATGATTCTTCCACCAATCAACACAGAATAATCTTCCACAAACTAGGGGAAAATGTGTTAAACTATGAGTAAAACCTGTAGTTATTGAGCAGAACATATCTATTCTTAAAAAGTGGGTTAAAATTTGTAGCCCAAGTCGTTTAAACCAAACAAAAAGTTGTGATTACAGTATTTAAGAATTCCATGAGCACTTTTAAGATGTCTGAATTTTTATTTTCCTTTATTTTTTAATCTTTTAATTATTCTCCTTGACTTTCTGTGATTTTCATATCAAATGTCTTGTGCTATGACAACCTTTTTCCAAGAAGTGACTATTGCTGCTTGTATTTGAGTTGCTTTCTACAGAAAGACTTGTAGAATATAGCTCATTCTCTCTTCAAGTTTACTGCTTACTGATAGAATGTTATGTTCTATTGGTAAAACAAATCTAAATGAGAAACTTTATTTGAACTGGAGTATTATTTTTCCAGAGAAAATTTTTATCTTCACTATTTTCTGATGATACATTGGTAACTTTAAAGACTATAAGGAAGTTTAGAGAATAAAATATGCCCGTACGTATTCTTTTCATTCTCAAATATAATTTTCATTTTTATTCCTCATAGAGAATTTTGAAACAAATTTTCATATGTTCTGTTCCCTATAGTGGGATTATTCCAGGACCTAAAGAAGCAGGATTTTATAATCCCTTTTCTATAGACTCAAACTTGAAATAGTAATTTAGCGGTCGAGTTGCTTTATGTGAACCAGCTACACAGTTTACTTTAGCAAACATGACAGAAAAAGCCAGAAGCTCTTGTATAAAATTTTTATGATTATGTCTTATATATTATAAATGTGTCTTCTGATTAATTCAGTGCCTTCTTCCTCTAAGCATGCTCTTGCCCCATGCCCTATGCAGTGTCAACTGATATTTAAGGCAGAAAGCATTATGTTATACTGGTGAGGGCCTTCTATTGCAGGGGGATGGGGAAAATAATTAATCAGGGGCTGGAGAGGTGCATTTGATTCTTTCCTGTGCTCATGCCATCATTTGAGACTGCATATATGGGTTTTTCTAATATTCATTTGGAAAATATATTAATCTCACTAGGGAGGTTTTGTTTCTCAGAAGTTTGTACTAATAAATATGAAGTTAGTAAATCCAGACTCCACGTTCTCATCACATATGATCCTTAATATTAAATTATACTATTATTACTTCACAATAAGAATCTGAGGTTTTTCTCTTCCTATGCTTCTCCTTAAAGTTCTCTAGAGAACAGAATGTGTAGGTTTTTTTTGTTTTGTTTTGTTTTGTTTTAAGTGAATTTGCTGTTAAGTTAAACTAATGAAAGTTGCCACCCTCATTTTTAAACTAGAAAATAATCAATTATAGTGCCTATTTAAATAGTCTCCAAATAAGGTAGCTATTAACTTGATGATAATACATAACATTCTCATTTACATTTGAATTAAATTTAAAAGTATTGGGCTCTTTTGCTGAATTTCATACATTGTAAAAAGTTGATCAACCCTTTAAAGTATTTTTTATTGCTTTATTTACTCTTTGTTTTGCCAGGTCAAACATGATTGCTTTCTATAAGGAAATGCGTGAGAGGTTGACTGTAATGGATGTATGACAGGTGTAAAATATGTTTGATTAAAACATACATTTAGTATTGCATTTCTCTTTTAACAGTTGAATTCCAAACCAGTTTTAGTAAACTGCATTAGGAAATGAAGGAGCTGCTTTAAGCACTTTAGAAAAAGAATTTTTTATAATTCATTTTGACTTTTTGGACTAACCATGTCTTTAACTTGGTATATACATATACCAAGCATTTCATAACTGAATGCATCTAGTGAATTAACACACAGTGATTCTTTGTATGTTCCAGGAGTTACGTTAGTAAACAAAGTGAAAGTATTAGGGGCATAGCTATCTGAACATGGATTTAATTGATGGCATCTATACTATTTTGACAAACATGAACTACCGTACAGTTGGGGACTTGGCCTGCTTACTCTATTCTGCAAACAGTAATTTTTCCTCATGTTTTCATCTAAAGAGACATATTGGTTTGCTTTTGTTTACTCATTTATAAAATTAAAGCATGAATGGTATCATGTATGATTAGATTTTTTGAAGCTGGTCCTTGGTGGTATAAATAATACATGGAAATATTTGTAATGAAACCTTTTTATTAGGCTGATAATCTATGTTATGACCTACCTAGAATAATTAGTTTTTCCCTATATACTTTTTCCATAAAATTATAGTTATTTATGTATTTTTAATTGTTTCTTTTGGAACAATTGGGAAAAAAGTTTGGAAAAGGATATATATGGAAAATGTTTATTTCGAAGAATATAGAATGTAGACTTCTTATTCTAGAATATCTGATGCCATATTTAAAAAAAATTTGGAACTATGTTTTCAGTTCATAAATACATTTAATAATTCTGAAGACAAAAATGTTAGAGCAGTGTTCATTCATGGTTAATTCATACGAATATTTGAGTGTCTGGTGTGGCAGTCAAAATTTAATTACCGTTATCTTCACAAATAACGTGCCAATGTAAATAACATGCATACACGTATAGCACACGTAGCACGCTTAATAATGCACAAGGGGGTTGCATGGTTGGCAAAAAAGTATACCACGCACGTTATTTGTGTAAAAATATGGTAGTTTCTATTCAGATTTCTCAAATCAGTGAAGTTTGATTAATTGTGTGGATAGTTTTGCTGCTGTTGAGTAGTGTAATAAAGTTTGCATCTTAAAAATAATGTTTGCTAGTAGGTCAGAAGTTTAAAAGAGTGAATTTGTTATAGTTTGTTAAAAAAAAAATTCTAATGAACTGAATATAATGTGGTTCACTTTATACAGTCACCTAAAATTGGGTTTGGAAACGTTTTCTTCATTGATTTTATTTTTATACTGGATGTACTCTTTTAGGGAAGTATATGGCCAGCATAAGTTTACTAAGCATCCAGGTAACGGTAAGTTATTTCAGTTATTTTTAACCAAAATTGACATTTCATAATGTGGGCACTGGAACATTATAAGAGATCATGAGTGTTTTCTTAATCATCACAGAAAGATTACCTCATATTCAGAATAGTTTTAGTTTTATGTGTATCTTACAGTATTCACATTCTAAAGATATTTATAATCTTGATATGTCACATATGATTTTGTTACCTGGAATATTTGATTTAACCTAAATACTCCTAAGAATTTTGAGTAAGTTAGAGTTTATATGGATAACATTCGTTGTATATTGTTTTCATCAAAAAGAGATTGTTGAACATACCAGGTATAAGGGAATATTGGCTTATACATAAAGACCAGAAATTGCCATGGTACTTTTCTCTTCAGACTACCCAGTTATTAAACTAAAACAGTATTTGTTATTTCTGGGTCAGTATAAGGTACTAATTTTTGATTCAAAATGATTTAAGCTATGTTAGTTTAAACAGATATGTTTTCTTAATGACACCTGTTCTATATAAGTGGGTCCTTGAGAATGGACATGTAGAGGATTTCATAGTATGTAGGCAGAAGGTAGGTGAATGTGTTTATTTTGGTTTGGAGCTTATTTAGTATACACCAATTTTAAATAAGTCAAACTGTAAGTGATTGGTAAAGGCATCTTTATTAGTATTAGAACTTTTCGGAGAGCAAAGGCTTATGGAATGCATTTTTTTTTTAAACATTTCCAGTATCTCTGAGGTACCAAAGCAATGAGTCTAATTTACCTTTAAAATCAAATTTATAACTAGTTCATACTGTAAGATACATAATAGCTAAATTTTTGAAATTATATTAAAAACCACTAGTCTTTAAAATCTCTGGATATGATATAAAAAAGATTTTTGCTTCATCTCTTTTAAAGTACTTAAAATTAATAACCTTAGCTTTACCATGTACTAAATTTATGACTTCTGTATAAGTCATTTGTCTTCTTTATCTCCATTGCCTTGCCTATAAAATTACAATCTTTTTAGCCTACCTCACAGGGCTGTTGTGAGGAATAAAATAAAACAAGAGTGTGTGGAGTTGCTTCAGAGACCGTAAAATGCTATGTATGTGTAAGGTATTATTTTTAGTTAATGGATTTGATGCTTCTCCATGCCATTTACTTTGATAAAGCATGTGCTTGAAAGTGGTATCACCAATGATTTCAAACGTGATTAAAAAAAAAAAAAGGAAATAATTGTCAAAGACTTAAATAAACAGAATTGAAAATTGCCAGTTAAAATGTCCTTTAACATTCATTTAGTTTGTGCATGATCTGCGGCCTTTTTGTAGTTTCTCATCAAGCCCATTACCCTGTAACAAGAGTTATTAGAGCTGTAAAATTACTCCCTTAGCAGTAGTGTGTCATTGTGGAATAGTAGCATAAATAAAAACTAAACTAAGCTATATCTCCTTCGAGGCATTTGAACTTTCAATTTAGGATGGCCGAGTGCCACATACAAAGACTGAATTTGGCCTAAATAATTCCAAACAACTAAATGATTCAGCAGTTGTTGTCACTGGATAAGCGATACTAAGATGTGCTGCCTGAACATCTGGCAGCTTCGTTGCATTGTCATTTTTCAAAATAAAATGAAACCTTGTTAACCTGGAAGTCGTTTAGTATCTCTCCTGCCATAGTTGTTTTGCTTTAAAATTGGATTTATAAATGTTTTACAGATTGCCTTAATCTACACATTATTTTGTATGTCTATCATTTGGACATGGTTTTGCTATGCAGTTCTGATAATAAAATTTTTAATTCCTTAGGTTTTACCTTTAAGTTATTGATGAAGAAAACTAATAAACTACTTATGATGTACTCAGTGCTGCAAAAGATTGTTTTAATAAGCATATTGACTCATCTTCCTTAGAAACAAGACAAAACCTTTAAAATGGTTTTTTAACCTTAAAGTAGGGGTATTCAAAGTGGAGTAACTTGTATGATGAAATGACTGTATGTTCTTTATAGATATGACTGAGTTAAAGTTTCCAAAAGCACCTGGGCTGTGTCATCTAAAAAATAAACTTTTTTCCTGCCTTCTTTTACTTCAGTGGTTTCATTTATCAACTCTTTTATTGAGTATCTACAATGTGCTATTGGGATAGACAAGATTAAAAAGTCACAGTTCCTTTGCCCAAAAAGCTTTATGTTTTAGAGTAGTGCTGTTCAACAGAATTTTGTGCAGTGATGGAAAGTTCTATATTTGCACTACCCAGTACAGTAGCCATAAGCCACGGGCAGCTGTTGAACACTTTAAATGTGGCTAGTGCAACTAAGAATATAAATTTTTAATTTTAGTTAATCTAAAGAGCCACATGTTGCTAATAACTACTGTTTTGGATACTGCAACTATAGATGAAAACATGCTATAACTAACTGTAATATAAATTAGGAACTTGGTTTCTGTTTTTGAAGCTTGTCACATCTTGGTTTACATTTTGGTAGATGACAGCTAAAAGTTAGAATTGGGACCCAAGCCCTTTTGAATTAAATTTGTACTCTAACTTGAGACCAGTTTAAGAGAAAAAAGAGTATCAGTCAATGACTAGATGACACTGGAGCTCTTGCAACTAAGATCATTTTCACTAAAAGAAGAATGGAGATTGGATAGTCTTTGAGTTATAAGGAGACAAGTGTGGCAAAGATGTTGAGAAACCAGGATCCTCATACAGGAAATGGAGTGTGAATGGCTGCGACATTTCTAGAGAACAGTTTAGCACTGTCAAAATTTTAAATACGCATAACCTTGAAAAGTTAATTCCATTTCTAAGTACTTCTTTACATATATGCTTAGAAATAAGCCAATATTTATTGCAGCATTGTTTACGATAGCAAAATACAAGCAACCTAATTGTTCATTGAGGAAATCTAGATAGCCCTGGAGTCACTCCCCCGCCGCCCTTTATGGTATCTAGGCAAAGAACTGACACCCGGCTTTAGTTATCTCAGTAAAAGAATGGGCTACCAGATTTTTTTTTAAATTGTAGTTTAAGTGAAAGTTTACAATTCAAGTTAGTCTCTCATACAAAAATTTATACATACATTGTTATGTGACCCTAATTGCTCTCCCTATGCTGTGACAGCAC